AGGGGCAGATCAGGACAGAACCTGAGTAGAGTAGGGTAGAGTCGGAGTATGGTTGAGCAGAGTAGGATCAATGTCGAGTATACTATAATATGCTACGTCACGGTGGGGTATAATCTGGTAGAGTGTATTCCGGCAGAGTAGGGTAGAGTACAGTAAAGTAGAGTAGCGTAGAGTAAAGTAGGAGTAGAGTAAAGTAGGGTAGAGTAAGAGCGAGATGGAGCAGAGTATATACATATAGCAGGGGATCAGGGCCAGGGACCCCTGGGCCAGAGCCTCGATTAGCGACTGGTGTGTCGCTCCTCCCCTGAGCCTCCATGAGGCCTCAAGACGGCCCAAGAGGGCTCCCAGAGAGCTCCCAGGCAGCTCAGGAGAGCCCGAAGACGGTCCAAGAGGGCCCCGAGTCGCCGAATGATCGCTCCGAGACGCCCAAGGTGGCCCCAAGACGGCGCAAGAGGCCTCCAAGACGCCCCAAGTTGCTGACAAGAGCAGTCCCAAGAGGGGAAGCTAAAGTTATTGGCTTTCAGTTGGTGTTTGAAGGATGTTGGTGTTATCGCCTCTTCGGCTCCGCGACGCTTGAAGACAGCCCAAGTGGTTTCTAAGATCGGTCCAAGACGTCCCAAGAGGCCTCCAAGAGAGCCCCAAAACGGCCTACGAGAGCTCCATACATCAAAAGAAGCCTCCACGACGGCCCGAGAGAGACCCCAATTGACATTCCGTCTTTTCGGCTTCGAGAGGCCCCCAGGAAGCCCCAGCGAGATCCCCAGAGGCTCCTCAGAGGCCCGAAGCGGCCCCGGACACGCCTCCAAGAACAGTCTCAATGGGACCCCTGGAGGCACACTGTATTGATTTCTGTTAGGTTTTAAAGGGTTTGTGCGTTATCGCCTTCTCTGTACCCCGACGCCCCAAGGCAGCCCACAGAGCCCCCAAGATCGCCCCACGTCGGCCCAAGAGGCACCCGAGAGAGCCACAATCGGGCCCAAGAGGTTTCCAAGGCGGCCCAATATGCCTCCAAGACGGCTGCAGAGGCCCCCAACATGGTTCCCAGAGGGGGCCCAGGCGGGGGACCCGAACGGACATTTCGACCCCTCGGCCCCAAGAGGCCTTTTAGACGCCCCAAGAAGCCCCCAAGAGGCACCACGATGCTCCCAAGACGCCCCAAGAGGCTTCCACTCCCGAGGTGGCCCCACGAGGCAAACATAAGTGATTTCTGTCAGGTTTTGAAGAAGGATTTTGGCGTGTTCGCTGTTTGGCTCACCGAGGCCCAAGAGGGCTCAAGAGGCCTCCAAGATCGGTCCAAGACGGCTCAAGAGACTTCCAAGAAAGCACCAAAACGGCCCAAGGGCCTCCCAAGGAGGCCCAGGGGGCTTCCAAGACTGCTCAAGAGGGCCCCAAGACGGTTCCAATAGGGGGGCCCGACGGGGTGGCCGAACGGAAAAATTCGATCCCTCGGTCCTGAGGGAGTCCCTAGAACGCCCCAAGAGACTTCCCCAGAGGCCCCAAAGATAACCATGCTTCCCAACTTGGACCACTTCAGTTCGAATATCCGCCCACACCGATCCCGAACAGTTCGAGGGTCCCACATAGCGGCCCCTTTCACCCGAGGCTACCCCCAAAGTTCTGCGGGGTTTCCTTCAGCACCCTCGTCTTTTCTGTTTGCACAGGAGCGAGCGTCCAGTGCGTTCTGACGTTCGGGATGTGGGGGGAAGAGTGCAGCCTGTGGGCTGATACACAAGAGGAGAGAGGGGGGGAGGGGAGCCGACCCGACTCCTCTACTATCTCTGCTCAAATCCGTCGCCTCGAGTGATACATATCCTGATGGCGATGATGAAGATGAGGCGGCCAGCCAGAGAGACAGAGCGAGAGAGAGAGAGAAACATAACTATACAATCGTATAGATGAGAGAAAGAGAGGAGGGAGGATAAGGCTGCGTAGGATGAGACGCAAGAGGGAGATGTGTGGAAAAGAAAAGTCAGCGAGAGAACGTGGATGACAGATGGGAGAGAGGAGGGGGACGAGGAGCATACAATGAGGAATTGGGACATCTGGGAGGACATGAGAAGTGAGAGGATAAAGAGACGAAGTAACAGAGGGAATGCAATGCGCATGGCGTGACTGAGGGGAGGCCCTCGTTTTTGCGAAATGTTGGGAGTTTAGGCTTCAAGATTTGACCAGGACCTATCCGATGCTGCGTCGCTGCCTCGGTCTGCGCTAGAACCTAAGCGCGCGTGGTTCTAGTAATTAGAGTGTATCATGGTACGGTAGGGTGTAGAGTAGAGTAGAGTCGATTAGGAGCAGAGTAGATTAGAACAGAGTCGAGTAGAGTAGAGTGGAGTAGAGTGAGAGCGACATGGAGTATAATAGAGTATGTTTGGGTACGGCCGGGTCGAGCAGAGTAGGGCAGTAGCCTAAGACAGAGAAGAGTAGAGTAGAGGAACGTAAAGTAGTGTGAGTAGGGTAGAGTCGGGCAGGGTCGAGCACAGTAGGGCCCTGGTAGATTACCCCGAGAGCTGGACCGAGCCCTACCAATACCATTCTATCAGAGCCAGCGCCTGGCGAGGGCGTTGGCGACAGGTGCGCCGCCGCCGCTGACTTCGTCGTCGTCGTCGTTGTCGTCGTCGTCGCCGCCGTCGTTGTCGTCGTCGTCGTCGTTGCCGTCGTCGTCGTTGTCGTCGTCGTCGTCGTCGTGGCCGTCGTCCTTGCAGGTGGTGGGGGAGGGGGGACCGGGGACCCCCGGAATGATCTTCCGGGGGGGTTGTAAAGTTGCAAAGTTGCAGCCTGCATTGAAAAGTGTTCAAGGATTCCTGGCTTGGGACCCCCGTGGGGGTGGAGCGGGCAATTTTGGGCCATGTCAGAGCGATTCTTTATCTTTTTCGTTTTCGTCGTCGTCGTCCTCCTCCTCCTGATCCATCCCCTTTGTTCTCTGCGTTCCCTCGTTCCACGGGACACAAATTTCAGCTGCGCCAGTAGCCTCCCGCACCCGAAGGTGCCTGCGCCCACTTGACACGGGGTGCGGCCCCCCCCGCGCTGCCCGGCCTGGCGGTGCCAGTCTGAGCCGACGCGCGTGGCGCCAGGGATGCAAATACCCACAGGAGCGGGAGGGTGGGGCGAAAGCGCGCGCGCCGTCCGCCGACGGCAGGACGCAAGCGCCGATGCCCGCAGGCTGCAAGAGGCAACGCCTGCGACCCGCGCAAACCTGAGGCGCGCCGCGAACCGCCTCGACGGGATCCCCGCGGCGCGCCAGTGCAGATCGCACAACGCGCCGCGAGCCCGCGCCGCGAGCCCGCGCCTCGCGCGCGCCGAATGCCTTTTTCGCGGGGCTGCGCGCGGCGCCGCGCACGGCTTCGCACTTCCCCCTTTCGCGCGCGCGAGCCCTTCGCGTTGGGCCGCGCTCCGCGCGGCGTAGGATAGCGGGAGGCGGCCTGTGCGCGCGGCTCGCCCGCCTGCGCGCGAGCCCAGCGCGGGCTCGAAATTTGTGCCCGCGCACAACGCAGCTCCAGTGTGCGCGCGCATACGAAGGCGTTGTTTGCCCACCAAAAGAACAAACCCACATCCAAACAAAACAAGCAAAACGCCGCAATGTGTTGGGGAGACTCCCGACTGAAGGCGAACCCGTGCGAATCTTGTTGTTTTCGGGGGGGGGGGGTCCTTGCTCCTCCTCTTTCTCCCCCAAAACGTCCTCTTTCTTGAACTAATCACCCCTGGTCCAACCCCAACTCTTGATCCAACTCCTGGTCCAACCACTTCATCACTCCTGATCCTTCTTTAATCATTCCTGATAAGAAAGGGAGGAGAACTTGTAGCGGGGAAAGGGAGGAGAACAAAAACATTGTGCTGACGATGATTACGACGAGAAAGAGGCTGATGAACCTGTACTCATCTACCTCGATCTCGGTTTCATATTTGCCCTCCACCCCCTCATCCCCACCACGGGTATCACCCTTTTTTCCTCTCTTACCCATTGTACGTTTTCGTTCCTCATCGCATCCCTCCTGCACGTCATGTCGGACGCGCGACAAGAACGCTGGAGGAGGGTGACTAATTGGGGCGAGCGTGGACGAGGATTGGTCGGAGGATGGTGTCAACGATTCGCTGCCATTTCCCATCGTCCTGGCCGTTTTCAGCCTCTTCTTCCTCGCCGCTGTCCTCATTTTATCACTCGTCATCCTCCTCAGCATCCCCCCCGTCGCCCCTATGGAAGAATGCTGGGAGGGTGTCACCAGGCAGCAAGTGGATGATGACGAGGAAACACCGAACATGACGAGGAAACGCCAAGGAACCTTATGATGAAATGGATGGAGGAGGCAGGGATAAACACCGAACATGGACTAGAGCCGATCGCGCCACATGCCCATCCAACCTGGCCCATGTAGCAGATGAGTGGGCAGAGGATGCGGGTGAGATGTAGGAGGAGGGGGGATCTGATAATGAGGAGGACCATGAAGAGGTTGAGGAGGTTGAGTGATACGATGAGCAGCGGGAGACGTACGATTAATATGATGAGGGCGAGGGAGAGGATGCTGACGAGAACGTGGCGGACGATTGGCAGGGTGAGGGTGATGAAGAAAATTCGGATGATGATGATGGGGGGCAACGATGGGGGGCAACGGTACTCATGTGGAGGAGCACTCCTTGTTCATCCTCATCATCGCCACCGTCGAGATGCCATCCGTCCCATTCCTCATGCCACTCATCGTCATCTTCGCCCGTCTCCGGGAGCCCGAGGTAGCACACATCATCGACGTCGTCATCCTCTGCATCACCGAGAATTCAAAGCATCGTTATCATCGTTGCCATCAGCTTCGGCAGTATGCCCCATGCCCGCGGGGTGCCGCTATGCCCCTCCCCAATTCCATGCGGGGACCCCCGAACAATTTTCCTGGGGGGATAGGGGGTGTCCCGTACTCCGTAGGTTTGCCTGGTTCTGGGAGGCTTGGGGGGAAGTTCGGAAAAAGAGGGGGGGCCTGATTTCTGACCCCCCCCCCTCCCTTGGTAGTTTTCAGGGGGGCACCTGGTTTCTGATCCCTCCTAGAGAATTTGGTCAGACCAGCCGCGGTGGACCGCGCTCCCTCGGATCTCGCGATGGCGGTGGCATAAAAGGCACAAATTTTAGCTTGTTGCACACGTTATATTTGATCGATCGAAGAGGCTTGTACTGTTGAGTGCCATGGCTTCTCAACCACAATTGTTGACGCAGCGAACTTGGATGCCAGACCTGCACGCGTGTATCAAACTGGTGGCTTGTTACGCGCATAACGCGCTTTGTTGGCAAGCTTGCATTGTTCAGAGCACAAGGTTGCAGGATCTGGTGCGCTGTGCGTATCTTTGCGCTGCCACGGCCGTGGTGGATTTGTGTTTTGTGCCTTGCGAATGATGCCGGGGGGCGGCTTCTCTTTTGCGGGCCCTTGCCGGTGAATTCTGTAGCCCGCGGAGTTCCACATTCTTTTCTTTCAATGTTTGACGCGGCTTTCAAAGTCCTGACGCTTCGCGTATTCTCACCAGTCCATCTAGCAACAGATCGCCAGGTGAGTTGCCTCTCAGCGTGTACAGCGGGTTCCCGATTTTACAGCAAAGTCCCGCCAACCTTTCCCCTCGCGAGCACTCCAACCAACTGTGTTGTCAAGGTCAACATGCCGACGGATATGTTGCCAGTGTTCGCTTGAGTTTTCCAGAGTAACATTGGAGCTGTTTTGATCGCCAGGTGGATCTATGAAGGACGCGTTAGTTTTCGCAGTGTGCCGGCTGATTAGTTACACCACATGCACGTCTTGTCTTGGCTCCAGAGGCAAACCATGACGTTCAGTGCCGTTCGACCGTCATTTTTAGGTTTCGCGGTTTCGGGCTGATCCGACGATCCCATGCCAGACTTCAGACATATTTGTCTCCCCCATACCCGAAGTGTTGTTTTCTTGTTTTTGTTGTGACACCTCAGCCGCCCTTTCCTCGCCTCCCCCGCCCTTTCCTTCCCGCCCCTTTCTCACACTCACACTCATACTCACACTCACACTCACGCTCAGCTCCCTCACGCTCAGACTCACGTACGCTCAGACCACTCCACTTAGACTCACATACACCTAGGTCAAGCATGCTCAGGCTCACTCGGACTCAGACTCATACCGCCAGCCTCACTCACACTCAAACCCATTCACGTTCAGACTTCGCCATTCTCACTCAGATCCACTTATACTCAGACTCACTTACTCCCAGTTCACTCATACTCCATACACATACTCGGACACACACACACACACACACACACACATCCAGACTCGCACACTCCGACTCATTCGCACTCTAATTTCGATCGCACTCAGAAACCACCGCGATGTAGAAGGTCTGAAACTTGGGCACCCCAAGGAGGAGCCGCCAGGGGATATTGCGCTTGTCCGTTCGCATTTAGACCGTGGGGATGTCTCAAGCGAGTCGCTTGTTTGACGGCCTTGTTTGTTTGCGAACATCATGATCACCGCGGTTTCGTAGGCATTGCGTTCGAGCACCCCGAGGAGGATCCGCAAGGGTGTAGCACATTTGCCCGTCCACGCCGCCCAGTGCCAGCTTATGGGGATTCCGCGGGCGTTTCGCTCTTGTGAGGGTTTGCCACCTTTCTTTGAGAGCCTCATTGTCAACGCGATGAAGCAGGCAGAGCATTTGACCACCCCACAGGGGAGCCGCCAGAGGGTACTACTCTCGCCCGTTGGAGCTTAGATTGTGGGGATGCCTGAGAGTTCTCTCGTTGGGCGGCTTCGTTTCCTTTGAGAGCATATTGGTCACCACGGTGTATCAGGCACAGCTTTCGAGCGCGGTGGAGCCGCCAGGAGGTGTTGCGTGTTCCCGCGCGCGATCAACGTGCGAGATTTCTCAAGCGACTAGCTCGTTCGGAGCCCCCGATTCCTCATGTCTAAATCCTCCTGATCACTTCGGTATAGCAGGCATGGCGCTAGGGCACCTCAATGAGAAGTCGCCAAGAGGAGCTGCACTTGCCCGTTCACACTTAGATTGGTGGGGATGCATCTATATGTTGGGAGAGCGCGTTTTACGAGCGCTTGCCTTGGGAACATTCGGCGGCGCGTTTCGAACCGGGGGGTGGCCCCCCTCCCCAACAGTCGGCGCCGTCGATCAAAACCAGGGGGACTCCCCTCCCCCTCAAACCCCCCCTCCTCCCGAACCCTCCCCCCCCCCTCCCAATCAGGAGGGGGGGGGGGTTGAACCCCCCTCCCTCTCGGCGCCGGCGCCGGCGGCCGCCAGCAGCGCCGACGGTGGGGACGCAGCGACGATGACCAGAGGCAGCCCGAGAGGGGGAGGGTTCAAACCTCCCCCCTTGGCGCCGAGGGGGGGGGTTCAAACCACCACCCCCCTGGCGCCGGCGCCGGCGCTGGCGGCGGCCAGCAGCGCCGCGCTGGCGCCGGCGACAGCGGGACGCAGCGACGATAACCACCACCCCCACCACCACCACCACCACCACTACCTCTACCACCACCGCCTCAACCCACCACCACCACCAACCCACCACACAACCACCACCACCACCACCACCGCCGCCACCACCACCACAACCACCACCACAACTCACCATCACCACCACCACAAAAACTCACCACCACTACCACCACCACCACAATCTACCACGCCACCACCACCACAACCACCACCACTACCAGCAGCACAACCCACCACCACCACAAACCACCACACCACCACTACCACCACCGCCACCACCGGCGCCATCACCATCACCACTTCCACAAACCACCCCCACCACCGTAACCAACCACCACCACCACCAACCACCACCACCAAACCACCAGCTAACCACCACCACCACCACCACAACCCACCACCACCACAAACCACCACCACACCACCACCACCACCACCACCACCACCCACCACCACAGCCACCACCACCGCCACAACAAGCCACCACACCACCACCACCACCACCATCGCCACCACCACCGCCACCACCATCACCACAACCCACCACCAACACCACCACCGTCGTTCTCGTCGACGCTCCCCGCCGCCGCCGCCCGCCGCCACAGGCGCCAGCGCCGGCCCAGAATAGGAAATCGTCGCTCCCGCCGCCGCCGCCAGCCGAGGAGAGGGAGAGAGGAAATGTAGGGGAGGAGGGAGGGTGGGGGGGGGAGAGGGGTTCGAATCCCCCTCCCCTTCGTCACGTGAGGGGGGGGGTTGGGGGTCGACCCCCCCCCCTTCCAAGCGACCGCATAACGCGCCTCGACTCCTCTCCGTTCAGAGCCTTATGATTACCGGGATGTTGCACGTAGACATAGCTTTCGTGCACCCCAGGGGGGAGCCACCAAGGGGCGTTACACTTTCCAGTTCGCGCCCCGATCATGGGTCCTCTCAGGCGAATCGTTGCCCTAGGCTCCTCCTACCTCTCCCTTCTCAGAGTCGCAAGGTCGCCCCGATGTAGCAAGCATAGCGTTTGGGCGTTCCAAGGGGGCCCCACTTTTGAGCACGCAGTCGCCGCAGGCTGATATTCCCCGGCTTAACCACTCAGGCGAAAGTGCCTGGAATGGATATGCACATTTAGGAATCCCGCGTCGGATAATTTTCAAGTCGCTGGCCGCGAATGTCCCCCACTCTTCCTTGAGGGCAGTTTTCGTGAAGCCTCCATGTTTGATGGCACCGGGCCGCGAAATGTGGAAACATCAATGGAACTAAACTAAAAGTACACTCCGCCTGACATCCATGTCGGTCCCTGATCGCCGTGTGCGTGCGTGCGCGCGTGGGCGCGTGTCTGTCTACAGTCTACGTTTGTCGCTGGCGGGATTGGGCATGCTATCAGCGTGTTGCTCCCCGCCCTGATTGCGCACGGTTGCGCTTGCTCCCACACGCCATGACTTCCCCTCGTCCGCTACTTCTTCCTCGTTCTTTGTCTTTCCTCCCCTGTTGCGCCTCGTGCTCGTCGGCGCTGCCGACCTCGGCATGTTGCCACTTTTCTTCTCACTTCCTGTCTGTCTGGCCTGCTGGGCCCCTCCGCGGCGCTCTCGGGCTCGCCCCTGGCCCGGCCCCTCTTTCGTTCTCCCTCCCTGCCGTGGCTTTGGGCATTGCACCCCATCGCCCGCATCGCGCATATGTCTACAGCTCAGCGGTCGGCTATGTCCCACTTTCACTGGGGCTTTTGTGTGTAGCCTGTGCCCCACACGCGTCGGTTAATCGTCTTAGCAGTGTCTTTGCTCGAATTATCGCCGCTGGCTGTAACCGCCCCGCGCGTAGGAGGACCAGCAATGTGTGTGTGTGTGGTTGATGGGTTGTGTGCGTGCGTATGTGTGTGTGTGTGTGTGTGTGTGTGTCTGTGTGCGTGTGTGCGTGTGTTTGTTTGCCCACTGGGACTCCGCCCCGGTGGCCTTTGCATCAGAATTCTGGCGCGCCCGCAGGGTGACAAGGCCGAAGACTTCTGGGGCGAGGATACCTTCGCACTGCGCCTGCAGTTTCGCGCGCTCGTCGCCCCGAGGGAAGGGGCGAGGATGATGAGGACGGGCAGCAGAATCGAGCATATCTCGCTGGACGTGTCTCCTTGATTTCGGCTTTTCTGGGTCCGTTTCGGCCCCCAGGGCCGTGGAGGCCCCCAACCAGCGATCGGGGATGACGAATTGACCAGGATGGATCCCGGGGGCTAATCTTGAGAGCAGACTGCCGAGCTTGTAGGCTCGACGATCGGTTTGGGAGCAGGGACTGGGAGGAGCGGCTCCAGCAAGAGAAGGAGCTCCCCCACACTTCTGATGGCTTTTTGATTGGGCATGCCTGCGAGCCGCGCGGGGGTCCAGAGGCCCAGTACGGCAGTGGTGAGCAGGGTGCAGCAGCAGCGTCACAGCAAAGGCATGGCGTCCACAAAAAGACAGTGGCAGCAGCAACGGCATAAACAACCGCAGAAGTAAGTCCCTTCCCCTCCTGCCTCTCGTCGGGTTCGGGCTCGAGCCGTCTGGACCAGCGGCGGCGCTGGCCTTGCTGCTCCCCCTCCGTCGGCTGACGGCAGCTACCAGGCGCGTGGGCTCCCCATGGAGGAGCCGTGGGGAGCGGAGAAGACAGGGGCGAGCAGGGAGGCGGAGGGCGAACAGCGTGTGAGAAAGCCTACGCGTGTCGGGTCCGCGCACGCGCGGCAGGGAGGAGTGTCTGGCGGATCTGTGCCACGTCGCGTGTGCATCTTTGCTCTGTTTCGCGCGTTGGAAGTTGCTCTTTGTCTGAGGGTTTAGAACACACGACCAGGGATGGCTCTTAGCGAGAGAGGGAAGGGAGAGGAGTGGAGTTGAGGGGGACAGACCAGGAGGGGAATCCGGGAGGGTAGGTGAACCCAAACGTCCAAGGCTTGACTCAAGAGGCTTACGCCATACCTTCGACCCCCCAAAGAAAGCGGATGGGCAAGTGTGATCATTTGCGTGTCCCAGGTCCCCAGCTGGAGTGTGCAAGATGTTGATGTCTTCTTTGGACTTGTTTGGAGCCCAATTAGGGCCGTGGGCGGTCCCTCTTGGCGCCGTCCTGGAGGCCGTCGATCTACAAGGAGGTGGTCCTAAAGTAGAGTCCCCTCGCGTGGAGCCTGATCAATTGTTTCATGGGCCCTTCGGAAGCCCATCGGAAGCGAACATACGTAAAACTAACATCTGTGGAAAATATGTAGTGCTTGAAAGATGTCGTTTTCTTGGAGCATCCTCGGGATGCTTCGTGGCCACTTGGAGCCGTCTTTGGGGTTTCTTGGCTGTAGGTGTGTCGCCGTTGTCACACGCTCACACACAAAACATATACACGACAAACACCGTGCACACACCGTGCGCCGCCCCCCGCTCGCCCGCCCAGTACAGCACCGTACGCCTCCCCTCCCGCCCGCCCAACCTTGCACGCACACATGCACACGACCACATATTTTTGCTCCTCCGCCAGCGAAGTGACACCACTGTCACGAGTCCAAGTATGTACAGGGCACGGTGACACGAATTTCCACTAGCGGTGTGGATGGACGGCCGAGAGAAGGCTGGCAACGGAAATGTGAGACCCCAGCCACTCGTGTGCAGGACAGACTAGACTGCTTGGGAACCGCGGGGGAGTCGCGTCGACCACCGGGGACGCAGAGTGCAGGAGGCGGCGAGTGTGCAAGCCAAGCGGCGGTGCGCAGGGGCGAAAGCAGGCGTGCAGGCCGGCCGAGCAGGCGGGCCGTGCAGGCGGGGGCAGACAGTGCGGGGGGGAGGGCCGACTGGCAGACACTTGCAGCGGAGGCAAGCAGGCGTGCCGAGGCAGGGTGCGACGGCGGCAGGGCAAAGAGAGGCGCGCGCCGCCACCCCGGCCGACCAGGCAGGCGACAGGTGGGCGGGGAGCGGGCCGCAGGAGGGCCGCCCAAAGAGGCGGCCCCCGAGAAGCGGGTTGCGGCGACCTCGCCAGCAAGGTAACACGTTTGTACTTGCAACGGTGGACCTCGTGGCATTTGATCTGAACGATCGCCTGGGTCCAATGGGCCGAGGAGAAGAGATGGATGCCCGGGGAGTGGGGAGGACGGTTGCCAAAACGACCTTCGAGGCGGGCTTGCGAGCGTACGAGAGCAGTCGGCAGCTAACGTGCCGGCAAGAGCGCCGCGCGAGAGCCACCGACGGAAGCAGGCGTACCAAGGGCAACCCGAGATGTGGCCCCCATCCCGCGCTCACGACAGCGCACATGCAAACAAACGCACCTTTTGGCGTCGCGGCCGCGCGCAGCAACGCAGCAGAGTCGGTCAGCGAAGAGCCGAAAGAGTAGTGCGGTCGAGGCGTCCGAAGGGGTGCCCAGGTCTCACGCAGCCCGGGCGAAGAGCACAGGGTTCACCTAGAGGAACGCACGCTGTGGGGGGTGGGGTGGGGGGCGAACGGGACAACCAGCGCAACCGCACGCACAGACTAACGCAACCCGACACATGCTACGAGCAACACCTGACCAAGGTCACCGCATGTAGCCACTTACAAACATGATACCAATTGCAACCATAGATAAGCTTGTGGGAAGCCACACGGTGGTACTCACTGTGCATCCGCTTCGTTTGGGGTACGACTCCGTGCGCGCGCAGGCAAGTCCATTGAGGTGGCGCTTCTCGTTTTCGTCTGAATCGGCGGAACAGCCTCAGCACATGCACGCATAAGCAAGCACGCACACATGCACTCGCGTGCCAGCGTTGCGTGCGCAACCCCAGTGGGGATCGGCTCGAACACGGAGAAAGCTGTTGGGGTTCTACCCCGCTGGATTGGCTGAGATGTGTGGTCCAACGTCTTCTGATTCTCCAAGGCTTGCGGCTTGCCTCTGCGTCCGCCCACCACACGTCTTCTATCATCCCGTGCCTCCCTCTGTCCCCACCATCTCTGCTGACAGATCTGCCCATGGCGAGCATCGAGGCCAAGAAGAAGGAGGGGCGCGCGGCCAAAGATGGGAGGATGGGGGAGAAGTATTCTTTCCTTGGGAGCTGTGCTTTCGAGGACAGTGGCTATTCGGGAAGAGTGAAGTTTTCTGAGTTGGGTTCCCGCATGTGGCGCAGGCGCCACAGGTGCCCTCCATGGTCGGGGTTGTCGCCGCCCCCCGCGCCGCCGACGGCTTCAAAGGTTCGGGCGGGCGTATGTCTCCCCAAATCTTAGTTGGTTCAGCGCTGGCGCGCTTGCGCACCAGTCCCAGGGCGCATGCCCTAGAAATGCTCCTTGAACTCGGTGCTGGCGCGCATTCTCCCCAGCCGTCAGGCCGTCAGTCTCAGGGCGTCTGTCCCACAAATGCTTGTTTGACTGGGTGCTGGCGCGCATCCCCTCGGCCGCCAGGCCATCATACCATGACGTAGAGATTACTCCATGTGTTGGATTTGCCAGATTGTACCGTGATGGAGAAGCAGGGGCAGGGAGACAGAAATAATGAGGTAGAGTGGGAGAGAGAGAGAGAGAGACTCGTTCCCCAGCACCCATTTTGCCGCCCCCTCCTCCGCAGCTCCCTTTGGCTCGTTCTAGACATGAAGGCGCTCCGCGAAAAGATCCGCGCAGCAAATTCTGATCTGTTCTGTTGGGACGGGGTACCTGGCCTCACTCTCCGTTTCGATTTCCGGGCATCGGCCCGCATCGGCCAGCGCTTGCTGGAGTTCTGGCGGCACGGCCGTAAGCTTGGGGCCGACGGCGCCCAGCCCAGACAGGTTCGCAATCATCGATCCTGCTTCGCTCATGGACCTCGCAGCTGGCGCGCGAGTATTGCAGTAACTGCTTACTGTCGGGGACAGGAGTGGTTTCCCATTCTTCTGGCCCAGTGTGGAGCATTTGGGGAACATGTGCGTCTTGCCGTGTCCCAGGTGCGTGCAGGGGGGTTAGATTGACAACGTGGACCACTGGTTGCAGGAGTGCCCGGGCAACTGAACCGCCCCCCCTGCCGCGCCGGCCGCGAGGGGCCGCCGCGCCCGCGGACGATGGGAATTGCTTACGGCTGTACAGCCATAATGTTGGCCATCTTACACCATCGTGCATGTCGTCACGCTGGCGTTTCGCGAATCGCCGCGCAGCGCTTCCCTGTGCCACGTAACGAAACACATCGCAGGCGACATCTTCAGAAACTCGCTCTCGCTTCCGCGGTTGCGATCGGATCGCGGTCCGCTCGGTGACTCGTGTACGCGTTCTTCCATGACCCAGATCGAGGTCGCGCCTGGAGGCCCCAGCATCGACGAGAAAATCGTGATACGTCCGAGCGTCCAGGGCAGGATTCCAAAGCGACATGCCCACCGTCCTCCTCTCGCAGCCGCCCGTCCGCCGACTTGTCCCCTGCCCCTCCCCCCTCCCCTTCTGCTCTCGGAAGGCCGGCCGGCGGGTGGTGACACGGCCGGAGGGAAGGAGAGGAATGAGGGAGCGAGGCGCTCCATTTGGGGCCAGGCGGCACAGAGGCGGCTGCGCCCGCGTGCGCCCTTGACACGACCAGGCACGCAGGCCCTGGGTCCGCCATAGGTGGTGGCGCTTGCTTCCGCCCCTGACCCTGGACCCCTGGCGCCCCCGGGGTCAGCGATAGGGGGGGCCCCCTCCTCCCCCCGCCCCCGAAAAAGAATTGCGGATAGGCCTGCACTTTCAAAAATGATATGTTGATCGTCTTGTGTCGAGATTCGGGACAAGCCGGTCTTGTGGAACTTTTCATTGTTTCTGAGGGCGCCCTGGGGCAGGCAAATCCTGCCCCCCCTGCCAAGCAGCGGAGTCCTGACCGTCAACGCTCCGTCAGTGCGCGTCACCAGGGTCAGATCGACGATTCGTGTCCTCGGGGGGCGCATTTGCATCCATGTGCCGACATGCAGGAAGCTTGCCGACACGTGCCAGTGTTCGCCCAAATCTGGGTCGGGGGCGCTCCGGCCCTCCCCCGCCCCGTCCCTACGTACGCGTGAGGCCACTGCGGGGCAGGACCCCCGGAGGGGCCACTTTGCGTGACTTGTTCCTCAAGGCTCGGCATTTCCCAGTGGACGTTCCGTCGCGCCACGAGGCGCTCACAGACCCTCGCAGCCTCCCTTTTCTTTTCCTCGGCCCACTCCGCAGGCTTTCAAGGATCGGCCCTAGGCGCATTCACGTTTTCTATTTTTGCGGCGAACGCACGCCAGAACCCTTGCCGAGTGAGCGTCAAGACATCCCCCCCTTCCAGCTGGTGGGCCGAGATGTATTCACGCCCAATATTTTTTCTTCTCGCGGACTCGGCGAGAAAAGGAGGACAAAGCGGGCACACGTCAACTCATTTGTGCAAACTTGGCCCTGCTCGAAGCAGTCATCTACGCCGCACCCGAACGCAGAGCACAGAGCAAAAGCGGTGAGCACGATCCAAGCAAGCTTTGGGAACCCTCCGCGGTTGCACGGTACGAATCCGCATTGCGCATTTGCTTGAATCGTAATGAATCGGAGTCGGGGCTGCATTTTTTTCTTTGCGGCGCCGATGTGAAATTAATGTGTTTGTTTGCGAGCATCGACGGGACACCGTGAGGTCGATAGTGACAAACGCAAGCGTGAGCGCGTGGCATGTGGAGCGACAACTTTTTGTTTTTTGTTGGGTTGCTGGACCGAACGTTCGACGGCCTTTTGGCGCAAAAGGGCTTACCACACGAGGAGTCTCACGAACATTACGCGACGCAGCGGCAGCCAGCTTCGCATTCGTTCGGTATTCGCTTGAGTGGTATTTCCGGGCATTATTGGTTTTGGTATTCAAGTCGGTTCCGACCATTACGTCGCGCTGACAAGGCGGTAGAAAATGACCCGAATGGTCAAGGAATGCGTTGCTTCATCCCACCATTCCGGCCTTTGGCCAAATCCGTCCAGTCCGTTCGCGGAATGAGTGACCTCGGTTGCGGGCCCAATTTTGATCTGTCATCGCAGGCCGAGCGTTACTCTCATTTCTGGGTTCCGCGATTCCCCGTGAGCTTTCGGCCGAAAGCTTCTTGGAAAGCACTGCACGCCACTCTGCCGAATCTGGGCACGGGCGCGCACTCCATCCGTAAAGGGAGAGCGCAGTGGAACAAATACCAGAAGCTAGTACCTGAAGAAGTGATACAGGCAGAAGGTGGCTAGAGCAGCCCAGGCACCATGCGGTCCGTGCAATTCCTGGAAAAAGAAGGCGAGCGCCGCGACCTTCTTATCCAGTCGGGCACGCGCTGCCTTGCATTGCCGCACACGCGTTCACACCGTGAGACGCCCACGCCTCCACGGGGTGCGGCCGGGTGACTTCGTTTTCCCTGGCTTCAAAAGGAGGTCAAATCTGCCTTTCACTGGCCTGCAGCCGCCCGGCACACCCGCTGAGGCACTCAATTACCAGAGCTGGGGTAAAGAAGCAGTTTTCTTTCATCACATCCCCTCGTCCCTTCGCTTCTCGCCCCGCGCTGGCCAGAAGGGCGACGGCACCTTGCGCCCACGGAGTGTGGGCGTCTGATTGCGATCGGCTGGAAGGTTTGGTGACGCTTGAGTTGGACGACGACGAAGCGAAACGAGACGGCGATGGGGCGCCGCCGCCCTTTCACCGTCGCACGGAGGCTTGACCAGAAGGGAGGGACAGGGGCGGTAGGGCGTTCTTTGGCCGTTTGCGGAAGCTATAGCTCCACACGCGCACATGCACATACACACACATCAGAGTGAGGGGGCCGAACGGTCATTCATTGTTCCTGGGCGCGTGGTGAAAATGAGAATCCGTGGTGAGGATTATACTTGTTGCGTTGTTGTTGTTGTTGTTGTTGTTGTTGTTGTTGTTGTTGTTGTTGTTGTTGTTGTGGTTGTTGTGGTTGTGGTTGTGGTTGTGGTTGTGGTTGTGGTTGTGGTTGTGGTTGTGGTTGTGGTTGTGGTTGTGGTTGTGGTGGTTGTTGTTGTTGTTGTTGTTGTTGTTGTTGTTGAACTCTCACCTCTGAAGAATAATTATGGTTGATCCCCCCACCGGTGCATACTGTTTTTTCTCAATCAAAGTGTGCCCCTCGACGCTCGCACCGTGTTTTTTGACAGGGAAAGTCTTCCTGCTCAAACTGGGCCCCTGGCCCCCAGGTTACAACAACAACGGCTCCCGCCTGAGACTTCCTCACAATTTAGCCAGGACCGCCGCTCCCGCCTGAGATTCCTTCACATTTTATTATGGAATCGCGCTCTCGCTTGGGACTTCCTCACAATTTATTCAGGAATCGCTCTCCCGGCGCTCTGGGGTCGCGCTCTCGCTGGAGACTTGCTTGCAATTTACTGAAGAATAGCGCCGTTGCGTTGGAATTTCTTATAATTTGCTCAAGCGCCGCGCTCCCGACACCCAGGCACCCAGGAGTCGCGCCCGTTGTGGCCCCATGTGCATGCCCTTCGTGGCCGCGCTGTCGCCGTTGGTGGCCCCTCACTGTCCTACGTGGCCCAGTTGCTACCCTCAGTGGCCCGATCGTTGCCTTCTGTGGCCCCGCATTATCTGCCCTTCGTGGCCCCCGCTCGTTCGCGCTCTTCGTAGCCCCATACGCATTCCCTTCATGTCCCCGCTGTCGCCCTTCGTGGCCTAATTCGTGTCCTTCGTGGCCCTGTTGTCGTTCTCTCTCGCTCTCGCTTTTGCTCGTCGTCGCCGTCGTCGTCGTCGTCGTCGACGTCGTCGACGTCGTCGTCGTCGTGGTCGTGGTGGGTCCCCTGTCCGTCCCTCTTGGGGTCGGGTCGACGGTCCGCGGCCGCCCCGCCGATCAGCGCTGCCGCTGGCCAGGCCGACGGTCCGCGGCCGCCCCGCCGCTTGCCGGGGCCCGGCCTGCAGGGGAGAAAGGTATACCCCCGAAAAGGGGTTCGATCGAAGACGAAGGGGGCGGGTATCGAGGGTTTGGGAAGTACGCGTTATTGGACACTTGAGCAGATAGGGGCGAACAGTCTTACAATGATTGTTGTTGTTGTTGTTGAACATTATTAATTCTAAAGAATAATTATTGTTGGGGCCCCTGGTGCACGGCCCCCCTGCGCCGCCTAGGCCGCAGCTACATTTTCATCATTTTCGTGAGGAAGCCTCAGGTAATACGATGTCATCAAGATCCGGTTGTTTTGTTGTAATCCGTTTTCCCTTGCAAAAAACACTATAAAATGACATTTCTTGTTCTAATATAATCAAATTTCAAGAATCCCTTGCAAAAAATAAGGTAAAGTGGACATTCGCGCGCGCAAGACGAAATCCTTCCAAAAGCTTAGTGTTCGGAGCGATTTTAACATAAAAACATCAAAAAACCAATGGTTTTTCAACAAAAAAATGTCAAAATCTCATCCCGCGCGCTCTTGCGGATTCGTAGGAAACCCAACACTTTTTAAACATTTCTGTCAAACGGGCTTTTGCGAGCAACTTTTTCGAACTTCTGCGACAACGGTTGCGCACCTGCCAGGGCCATCATCCCTGTCAAATAATACCATGCGGGACACATTCGTTTTTTCTTCGCGCGCGCACGCCGAAATCTCCAAAAACCATTGGGTTCTTAAGAATTTTAGCACCGCGCATCATAAAATCACACGAATCGCACCGTGCTGGGCACATGCGCGCCCCGAATAAGTGACCAAGTTCTGTGGGTGTGTACCCCACGCCAGTGTAGTAGCCACGGTCGTCCGCACGCCACGAAGTGAAGTGTCCCAACGTCATAGGGCGGGAAGCTGGGTTTGGGTGGTCGCGAAGAGTCGTTTGGATATTTGGTAGAGCTTGTAATGCCCCCCCACGAAGTGGGGGTATTGCCTGGTGTCGTATGAAAACCCTGGCACTGGGGAGAACACCACGCGTTCGGGTAAAATGATTATTGTTGTTGTTGTTGTTGTTGTCGTCGTCCCCCCCGCGACCCACCCGCGACCCACACCGCGACCCACGCCGCGACCCACCCCGTGACCCACCCGCGACCCAACCCGCGACCCACCCCGCGACCCACCCGCGACCCACCCGCGACCGATCCACATTGGTTTGAAGAAAAGATCGGCGCCTGCGGCGGGCTCGTTGTATAATTTGTGAAACTTTGGCGCCTGCGGCGGGTTTTTTCCAGAGTCTCGCAGATTGCCCACGGTCCAACCGCCCCCTCACTCTTATCCGCATCTGCGGGGTGCTACGTATTTCACCGCGGCTTGCCCACACCTGCAATGCTCTGTCGAGGGCCACCCCTCCATTTTTGATCCTTCCTCATAGTGGCGATGGATGAGGGAGATTGATTACCAATATGGGAAAGGAGGGGGGAGAGGAGAGATGGTGTAGGAGTAGGGAAGGAGAATGGGGAGGGGGTGCGGTGAAGAGAGGTATTAGGTGGGAGGATCAGGGCGCAACGCGCTAGTTACCAAACCGAGCCAGAGCACGAGCCAGGCTCTTCGACCAAGTTCGTCTGACCAGGTCCGTCAAATAGACGCCCCTGCTTGCTCCTTCAGAACCTCTGTGCGTGTTGCCCTGGCCTTTGCTTTTTTTGGGCGCTCCTTTCGCGGACCCGTTTGCGGGATGGCCAACCAGGGAGGGCGCGCGGTGGCCCGCCTGGGTTGGTCAGCCTGCAGCCGTCCCCGCGCCGTGCTGTCACGCTCCGCATGCGCCGGTTCGTTTGCCTGGTCGCTCGGGATAGTGGCAGCCCAACTGGCGCTGGTGCAGGCGGGCTGGCCCCGCGGTGGCAAGGCGCAGCATCCATCATGCAAGCTTCGAGTTGGCTGTGCACGGCCGTGGCCGTTCCACAGGCCGTCGAGACCAGATAACAGTAGTAATGTGACCTGCGGGTAGGATGACAGGGCGAGCTGCCACGCGCGCGGGTGGTGGCGGACGCAGGGCGGGTTTGCGCGGGTGGGGGCATACAGTTAAGGTTCCCCAAAGCGATATAATTAACGTTGCCTGCCGTAGGAGCCGCTTTTTCCAGATCATGTGGGCATGTCGCGGAGTGGGTCGCAGATCGGTCGCGGGTGGGTCGCGGGGCTTGCCGCGAGGTAACTTCGACAACAACAGCAACTGATCGCGTATCATTTGACTTGTGTTCCTCTGATCTCTCGATGCCCGCCCTCAACGTCGTCGATCGTGCCGCCTTGGCACGAGCAGAATGAGGCTGAGGATGAGGAGAACGTCGACTGCTAGCTTGAAGCTTCTTGAATGGTCGAGGAGGGGGATGGAGGGGAACAGGGATGGAGAATGGGGAGGTCGGTTGGCGGGAGAGATCATAATGATAAGTGAAGTTGAGGAGGAGAAGGAGGAGGAGGAGGAGGAGGAGGAGGAGGAGGAGGAGGAGGAGGTTGGGTGGAGGAGGAGCAGGAGGAGAAGGAGGAGGCGGGGTTTGACGAAGGGGCTTGGGAGCTGGGGGGTGGGAGGCGGCAGCAGGCGGCGGAGGCGGCAGACGCCCATCCCCCGCGCGGGCCGGGGAGGAGTGGACCGCGTGCTTGGCGAAGAGCGGCGGCGTCCCCGGCAAGTGCGAGAAGCTGCAGAACGACAGAGGGGGGGGGGCGTACCCATCGCCAGGGGTGGAACGTAGGATGATTGAAGCCGCCCTTGCTTGCAGACCCTGAATTCTCCCTGGGCGGTACAACGAGCGGAACACGTATCATGGGCAGCGTGGTCGACGGAGAACTCGGAGAGTGGGATGGGAGGGGCGAAGAATGGCGGCAGAGGAATGTGAGGGATATTTGAGGGTGCCTTTATCGAATGTTGTTGACCCTTGGAGGGCGATGCAGCAAAAACTTGTCGAGACAACAATCGAACAGGCGAGGTAGGGCAATTTCGGGAGGGGTGTTGCCGTAGATGATGCTGTTGTTGCGGGTGATGTTGATGATGCTGTTGTTGATGACGATTATGGGGTGATGATGATGATGATGATGATGATGATGATGATGATGATGATGATGATGATATTGATAATGGTATTGATGATGCGATTGCCTCTGATGATGGCGGTTGTAATGCTACTTTTGATGATGGTGATGCCGAGGATGACGATGATGATGAGGTTGATGATGATGATGATGATGATGATGATGATGATGATGATGATGAGTTTGATGATGATGATGGTGATGATGTTGATGATGATGTTGATGCTGATGCTGCTGCTGCTGATGATGCTGATGGTACAGGTGATGATGCTGATGATCGTGTTTATTACTATTATGATGATGATGATGATGTTGATCATGATGATGATGATGATGATGATGATGATGATGGTGGTGGTGGTGGTGGTGGTGATGCTGCTGTTGCTGCTGATGATAATGATGTTGATACTGGCGCTGCTGCTGATGATGCTGATGATGATGATGGTAATGATGATGATGATGGTGATGATGATGATGATGCTGTTGCTGCTGCTGTTGATGATGATGACGATGACGATGATGACGATGATGATGATGATGATGACGATGATGATGATGATGACGATGATGACGACGATGATGACGATGATGATGACGATGATGATGATGATGATGATGACGATGATGATGATGATGATGATGATGATGATGATGATGATGATGATGATGATGATGATGATGATGATGATGATGATGATGATGATGATGATGATGATTATGATGATGATGATGATGATGATGATGATGATGATGATGATGATGATGATGATGATGATGATGATGCTGCTGCTGCTGCTGCTGATGATGATGATGATGATGATGATGATGATGATGATGATGATGATGATGATGATGATGATGATGATGATGATGATGATGATGATGATGATGATGATGATGATTGGAGAATGAGGGCACTTAATGCCACTTAATGTGAAGTGAGAACAGATTTCCTCTCGTAGTTCTGTCTGGGCTCATAACCCAGTCATCATGCTGTTCTTCTAGCGAAGTCTTTGGGGCTTGCCCCCCCAGCGTAGCACGAACATGGTTCTCTCTCCAGCGCCCTTGGAGCCCGAGGGGCCAGGTGCCACGCTCGGAGGCCCAAGCAGGTTGTGGGCGCTCGGCTGGGCAGGCGCCGCGCTGCTGTTGATCGGCTTCCTCGCGGACGGCGCCCTGAATGCCGACTCTGGGCGCGGCGCGGTGCCGCGCTTGCGCCTGGCCGTTCTCGCAGCCTGCGTCGGGACCAGTCTCACCCTGTGGCGTCCGGGCCTTTGGAGCTGGCGCTGCCGCCGCAACAACGACGCCCACGAACTCGAGCGCTTGAGGGCCCAGTTGGCCGCGCTGTAGCTGGCCAAGTTGGCGCCCCCCGCCGCCGCTTCGGAGGACGGCGGCCTCGGTGGCGCTACGGCGGATGCAGCCGCCAGCGGCTGCCTGGGCCTGCCGCCCCCGCCGCCCTTCGGCATCGGGCCGCCGCCCGCCGCCACGCCCGGCACGTGGGCACCAGGCCCCGCAGCGGCTCCCGACGGCGGATTCGCCGCATTCCACGCCTTCGGCGCTGGAGGCGGACTGCCAGGACTGATCTCGGCGCCCGCCGCTGCCACGTTCGCCGCGCAGCCCGTGCAGGGCTTGGCGCCAGGTCTGGTCGCGGACACTGCGAACCAGACCTTCGCGGCCGTGGCGGCGGCAACCCCGGCGAGCGTGTCGCTTGCGGCCCCTGCGGCTCCATCATGTGCCAGCGCCTGCGCCGTGGCAGCGGGTCCACCAGCGCGACCAGGCGGGGCTGTTCGACCCAGGCGTGAAAGCGGCGCTGGTGGCCCTCGGCTACGCCGGCGAGGCCTCGGTCGAGGCGCCCGACGTGGAGAGCGTCATGGCGGTGCTGACGGGCTTCGAGGCGCCGGCGGCCCAGTTCACGGGTGGCTTCGTGGGCAGTGGGCTCGCGGCATCGGCGTCCGTCGAGGGCTGGGCCCACACTCTCCCTCCAGACTTCCAGAGTGCAGGCGGCGATCTTTCAGGAACATCAGGGCCTCGGGGTCCACGTCGGCGCGCAAATATTTGAGAGGGTGCGCCGCTGGATCTCCCCAAAGGGGGGGGGGGGTAGGACCACCTCCCCCCCTTTCCCCGATCCGTCGTCGGGGACCCCCCCCCCCCCCCATCCCCGATGCGTCGTCGGGACCCCCCCCCATCTCCCCCTTTCCCCGATCCGTCGTCGGGGAACACCCCCCCCTCCCCCCCTTTGGCCGCACCCCCCCCCCCCTTTCGCCACGCCGCCACCTGACTCCGACCCCCGCCAACCCTACCCCTAGTCCTCATCCTTGTTCCTTATTATATTATTATATACCCCTACCTACCTCGTATTCCGGCCGATAGCAACCCGATCCGGGACCTCCCATCCGGATTGTAGAAAATCAATACAAAGTAGCCGTTTTTTCTTCTCAACAACGTCTTTCTTGTCGTCGACCATGCGAAAAGCGTGGCAGGAATGGGACGCGGCGCGCATCGCGCGCGGCAGTCAATCTGGGCCCGCCCATCCTGATTGTAACAAATCATTACACAGTCTTCGTTTTTTTCCTCTCAGCATGGCCTGCCTTGTCGCCGACGGTGCGAAATATGTGGCAGCAGTGGGACGCGGCGCACGTATGGGACGCGGCGCACATCGCGCGCGGCAGTCAATCTGGGCCCGCCCAGCCTGACTGTAAAAAATCAATACACAGTTTCCGTTCCTTCCTCTCAGCATGGCTTGCGTTGTCGCCGGCGGTGCGAAATATGTGGCAGGAATGGAACGGCGCACATCGCGCGCGGACGTCCATGCGGGCCGCGGGCCCTCCCATTCTGATTGTAAAAAATACACAGTTGCCGTTTTTCCTTTCATCATGGCCTGCGTTGTCGTCGACGATGCGAGATGCGTGGCAGGAATGGGGCGCGGCGCACATCGCGCGCTGACTTCTGAGGCAACCCCAAGGCAGGAGGGGCCACCTTACTTGTCAGAAGCAATGCCACGCTGATTTTCCCTGCCCACATAGCTGTTCTTGTCGTCCACCCCGCAAAAATGCATGGCAATAATTCGGCGCGGCACACCCCCCTCCCCCCGTTCGAAGTGAATGAAATGACCTTCCCGCTTGGGCGCCGAGCGAAATTTCCTCAAAGTTGCGCTCCCGCTTTGGCTCGGCGCACGTTTTTAGCTCGCCAATTCATTGGGTTCCGGGGCGTTCCAGGAGGCCCTGGGGTGACGAATGCCTGGGAGGTATTTGCTTGTTCAGGCTCTTGGAGGGCCTCCTGAGGCTCCCCGCGGTTTCTTGGCGGCGCCTTCGGCCGCGTGGAGGCCATCTTGGGCGTCTTGGAACGATCTTTCGGCGACTCAGGGCGCCTCGGATCGTCTCGGGAACGTCTCGGCTCTCTTGGGGCGTTCCTGGGGCGTTTTGGGACCTGGAAGTCAGCGCCGAAGAAGAAAACCATTGCTGGGACCGACGTGCCCCGGACCTGCTCGGGGTTCTTTTCGTCCCGGGGCCCCCAGGGCCGCCCCGCGCGAGCAAACTAGACGCCTCTGGCCCGTTGGGCTGGCCCGGGACTTCTACGGGGTACTTTTCGTCCGGGGGCCCTTAGGGGTTGCCCCGCGCGCGCGAACAAGAATATCGTCAATTCGTTACCGGAGGTCTTTGCACGCCTCTGGCCCGTTGGGCCGGCGAATTTGTCCCAAGCCTTTCTGAGATCTCGACCCCTTTCTCGGGAGCAGTTTTGCGACCCGGATATTTTCTTATTGGTCCGGGGGAGGGCGAAGTCGAGGGAAAAACGTGCGAAGTCGACGGGAAAACGCCAGCACGGAGAAAATACTATCGTCGGGGATGTGGGCCCAAGAGCCGCGAGTGCTTCCGAGGAGCCTCGAAGCCCGAACCGGGAGGGCCCGTCGCGGCGGCACGGCGCCGGCGCCGCCCACAGGTTATGGTCGGCGGCGCGCCGAGGGGGAGTGTTTCAGTGAGGTGCTCGAACTTTGCGCCTCGAGCATCGGTGTTCGAGTCTTTCTGGCCCTCGGGGTCCTCTTTTAACTCACGGATGGATGCGACTCGAAAAAATTGTGCGTTTGGACCCGGGACGGGTCCGAAGGCTTCCTTCGGACCGGATCTGGGTTTGGGGGTACGGCGAGGGGGAAGACAGCAGCTTGTCCGTTGCCTCGAGAATCGGTGTTCGAGGCGTTCTGGCCATCGGGGTCCTCCTCGAAGTCACGGCTGGACGCGACTCGAAAAAATTATGCGTTTGGACCCGGGAGGAGTCCGAAGGTTTCCTTCGGAACGGATTTGGGGGGTTTAGGGGTACGGCGAGGGGGAAGACAGCAGCCTGTCCGTTGTGCCATCACTGTTTCTTATGTTGTGGGAGGGCGGGTGGGAACGGGCATGCCGTGCTTGACTCGCTCGAGCTGGCTAGCTTGACCCTAACCCAAACCCCTAAACCTAACCCCAACCACCAACCCCAGCCCCAACGAGTACTCATTATTCATCATTCACTACGCACTACTGGCTACTCGCTATTCGCTACTCACTTCTCACTCACTACCCCCTACTCACTACTCACGATTCACTATTCACTATCCACTACTCACTACCCACCACCCACTACTCGCTACTCAC